ACATCGGAGATGTGGTCAGATCTTTGTGAAAGATTCGGAAAAGAAAGCGCGCCAAGAGCGTACGAATTAAAGAATAAAATTGTTGTTTCACATCAAGATGGTACTACCGTCTCAGCCTACTACACAAAGCTTCGTTTCCTGTGGGATGAGATTCAATCAGTTTTTCCTATCCCACGGTGCACATGTAACGGGTGCACGTGTGACATCGGTAAAAGACTCGTTGAGCATCAAGAGAAAGAGAAGCTGTATGAGTTTCTCATGGGCCTCGACAATGAGTTCGGGGTTATTAAAACCCAGATCCTTGCCACCAAACCAACACCAGGTCTCGGTACCGCCTACCATCTCGTTGCGGAAGATGAACGACAGAGAATGATAACGGAGGAGAAGAAACCCACCATGGAAGCCGCTSCATTTAAGACCTTTGTCCCACCAAACGTGAGAACTCCTCCTCGAACCAGCAGAAAGCGAAGACACATTCGAAAACCGTGAAGCGAGAGGAAGAGGTGCAACACTGCACTTTTTGTGATAGGGATGGACACAATCGGGATGGTTGTTTCAAACTGGTTGGTTATCCTGAGTGGTGGCCAGGAAAAGCAAAGGTGGATAAAGGCAAGCCGAGAGCTTCATGCGTTGAAGGTGGGTTGAGTCCCATTTTGGGTCTCACCGTGGAACAATACAACACGTTCTTGAAGCACTTCGAGCATGGTGTCACTACAGGTGATGAAGAGAGCAAACGTGTCGYTAACATGACAGGTAGTTTTAATGACAAAGATGACTGGGTTGTGGATTCGGGAGCHACCGAACACACAACTTATCGTGTCGATATTCTTGTGAACAAAAGGAAAAGTCCTTATGAACCGCCTGTTGTCATCCCTAATGGTGACGCTATCCCGGTCGAAGGAAGGGGTGATTATACCTTGCCAGGAGGAACCAAGATAGAAGGGATATTGGACGTTCCAAAGTTTAATTGCAACCTTTTATCTGTTAGCAGATTAACTAAAAACCTTCAATGCGCCATAACATTTTTTTCGGATTTCTGTGTTATGCAGAGGCTTCGTTCGAGGACCTTGATTGGTGCGGGTGAATGCAGAAGGGGTCTGTACCGAATGGGGGTCYTTGCAGAAGGAAGGAAGGCTATGGCAGTTACTATTGGCAGATGGCACAAGAGGTTGGGTCATACATCTCAAGAGAAACTTACTAAAGTTGACTTTCTCAAAGGTGTTTCTTTTAATATTAGAGATATTGTTTGTGATTCTTGTTCAAAGGCAAAACATACAAGGTCACCTTTTCCTTTGAGTGACATTAAAACAAAAGGATATTTTGAATTATTACATTGCGATGTGTGGGGCAAATATCGCTTTCCTTCTTTTTTTGGAGCAAATTATTTTTTGACCATTGTGGATGATTTTAGTAGAACTGTTTGGGTTTTTCTCRTTAAACACAAAAGTGATGCTAGTACTTGTCTRGTCAATTTTTGCAAAATGATAGAAAATCAATTTAGTAAAACCGTCAAGAGAATAAGATGTGACAACGGTGGAGAGTTTACCTCCAACTTCATGATTGATTYTTACACCAAGCAAGGCATTTTGTTGGMAAMCACGTGTCCACACACGCCCCAACAAAATGGAGTTGTTGAACGTAAGCATAGGCACTTGCTTGACACGGCTCGAGCCTTACGGTTTGAAGCCAACCTACCTAAGAAGTTTTGGGGGGAATGTGTTCTAACGGCCGCTTACATCATCGATCGATTGCCTTCTAAAATCCTCGGTCATAAAACTCCATACGAATTGTTATACAATCAAAAACCCGAATATGACCACATGAGGGTTTTCGGTTGTTTAACTTATTTTTGGAGTATCGAAACAAAAGGTGACAAATTYRAAGTGAKGGGGAGACCCRGGGTCTTCTTGGGTTACCCTCAAGGGACAAAGGGTTACAAAATATTGGACATCGAAGGCAAAAGGATCGTTGTGTCACGGGATGTCAAATTCCATGAAAACACTTTTCCTTTCTCGGGTTCACCACAAGCTCAAATTGATCATGACAATTTTAGCCTCATTCCAACCCAAAGTGTCGAAAACCCTCATCATGAAGTCCATGATATTTTGGATGAAACAACAAACAGTGGGACTAATTCTAGTCCATAAAATTTTGACAATGAAGATGGGCATGGATCACAAGAGAGCAACAATGAAGATGGCCAAGCAATAAACAGTGAAGAGTTATTTCATCAAAATGAAGACAACCTCCAACAAAACAKTGAGTCTCASAACTCACGGCCAAAGAGGGACCGATGTCAACCCAAGCGTTTAGATGATTTCATTGGATTTCATTGTCAATCTTCCCCCTTCGGTCGACCATGCACGCACCACATCAACTCAAGACGCCTCAACGGTACACCCTATTACAAATTATCTTTCTTATGATAATTTTTCTAACACTCATAAAGCCTTTTTGGCAGCTATCACCACAAACGATGAGCCGAAAAATTTCAAGCAAGCCATGCARGACCCAAAATGGATTGAAGCCATGAAGAAGGAGATCCAAGCTCTTGAACAAAACRACACGTGGACTCTTGAGTCGTTGCCGGAGGGAAAACGAGCCATAGACTCCAAATGGGTCTATAAAATCAAATACAAGCCAAATGGAGATRTCGAGAGATACAAAGCGAGACTCGTGGCTAAGGGATTTACTCAAATTGAAGGAGAAGATTTTCATGACACGTTTGCTCCGGTGGCAAAACTGGTCACTGTTCGAACGTTACTAGCCGTGGCCACYAAAAACAACTGGCTCATCCACCAACTTGACGTTAACAACGTTTTTTACATGGCGACCTAGACGAAGAAGTGTACATGAAGATACCGCAAGGTTTTTCTAAAGAGAACGAGACTCGGGTATGTCGATTGCGAAAATCTMTCTACGGTCTCAAACAAGCTTCACGAAACTGGTATTAAAAATTCACCACGGCTTTTCTTGGTCTCAGATTTTATTCATCTAAATCAGACCATTCTCTTTTCATCTACCAAAMGGATGACACCTTCATTGCCAGCCTCATCTACGTTGATGATGTCATCATTGTGGGGAATGATTCAGAAAAGATACAAGAAATCAAACAAAGCTTGCATGACAAGTTTAGCATAAAAGATCTCGGTGAGTTAAAGTATTTTATTGGCATTGAAGTGGCYAAGACTTCAAGTGGACTTGTTTTGAGTCAACGAAAGTACACGCTCAACATTTTGGAAGATTGTGGCATGGAAGTGTGTCACCCGAGTTCTTTCCCCATTGAACAAAACATAAAACTTGTCATGGATGACAAAGAGCCCAAGGTCGATCCCAGTCATTATCGGCGGCTCATTGGTCGGTTACTTTATCTTCAGGCCACTCGTCCAGACATTGCTTACTCTGTTAGCACCCTCAGTCATTTTGTTTCAGATCAGGCATACTTTTACCAAAAGAAGGTGGCATGAGTTTAGTTGCATACTCTGACTCAGATTGGCTTGGTTGTCCCCTCACAAGGCGTTCTTGAACTGGTTACTTGCTACTTCTCGGTGGTGCCCCTATCTCGTGGAAAACCAAAAGGCAGTCAGTCGTTTCATGCTCTTCCGCTGAGGCCGAATATCGGGCTATGGCCACCACTGTTAGCGAACTTGTTTGGATGCGATGGCTTTTAAAGGAACTGGGTTCTCCCCAACTCGCATCTACCACACTTTTTTGTGACAATCAAGCTGCTCGACACATTGTCAATAACACCGTCTTTCACGAACGCACTAAACATGTTAAAATGGACTGCTACTTCGTTCGTGAACGTGTTGAATCGAACGAAATTTGTCCTATGCCGATCGACTCAAAGCTCCAACTTGCTGATCTTCTTACGAAGGGCCTTGGGGCTGCTCATCTTCGTTTCCTTCTTGACAAGCCGGGCATTGTTAATTTACACGCTCCAGCTTGAGGGGGAGTATTGGCTTTCAATATTCGGTGTTATCTCCCTCATATTTTCCTCCTTCTTTATTGCCTTAATTATTGGTTTCCTTTTTTGTTTTCTTCTATTTATCGGAGGTGATCTCCTCCCTTGTATGTGTGTGTTTTTTAAACAATTAACAAAGAATGATACCTTGAAATTATTATTATTATTATTATTATTATTATTATTATGTATTCAACAATAAATATATAATTCTATTTATTTGAATCAGACTGACAAATTAAAATAACCCAATTACATATTCAAACAAGGATCGGAACCGAAACCGACCATGACTTGGAAGCCTCGATTCCGATCCTTGAAAAAAACGTGATTTATCAACCATTAATAATTAATTAGCAATTATATTTGCCGTGATATGGTTCTTCCTTTGCGCACAGGAAACAAAACATGCACCTTGTTACACCATGGTAAACCCTCGGAGTAACCCTAAACCCCTCTCTCTATAAGTAGACACGCACAATGCCTTCATCTTCATCGCCTCTTTCTCTGTTTCTACATCTAGGGTTTACCAATTAATCCCCATTTGGGTTCTCCAATGGAGATCTGTTCTCTTATCTCTCTCTTCTGTCTATTTTGTTATTGTTTCTGATGAGTTTACATTTCAATTCGATTTGGGTTTCATCCAATTCGATCGATTCGTTCTTATTCGATTTTTAAATTTTCAGAAAAAAGGGCTATGACGATCACATGTGATAAGGTCTCGTTCGTCGTAATGGTGATGAATAATCCCCTTGCCGACCACACTGTTATATCACCACCCATAAACCGAGTCCTGTCAATTTGTGTTTTTTTTTCTTTAAAACAATTGGTATTTATTTCCATCTCAAGCTATATGTTTTTCAGTGATTTTGAGTATTCTTTTTGGATCTGGCCGATGATTAAATTCTAAATCAAAGACAAGCATATGTCTGAATCAAACCGTGTTGTTTAATCTAATCTTCTCAATGAGGCCGTGAGTTTTGATTTCCAAAATCTTGCTATTATTTTGAATGTTTTACTTTAAGGTTAACCTGCAAGCCAATGATGATTACAATTGTATTTATTCGATGAATCATGATTACAACAATACTGCCTTCCTTCTGAGGCTTTCTGTTAATCGTTTCCATTTTGAACTTGTACCATTTTATGCTTATTTATTGGGAGGTTCAAATGATGACCATTTGCATAGTTCACATGATATTCTGTGATTATACATATCTTTTAGTCTTTCGCTCCTATCTGATGAACTCTCTCAAAACAAATTAGTTGCTGGTTTTAGATTAATTGTTTCCTTTTTTAAAAGTAAATGAAATCATGAATTGGGATAATGACGACTCCATGTGATAAGGTCTCGTTCGTCGTAATGGTGATGAATAATTACCTTGCCGACCATCCTGTTATATCACCACCCATAAACTGAATCCCATTTCCATTCATATACTTGGTTTTATTTTGAAGGGTTTTGTAATTTTTATTTTGTTGGTAATTTCAAGATTTTACCTTTTTGGGCAGATGATTTGAGAAATCTTACACAATGACAAGCATATGTCTGAATCAACATGTGTTGTAAATCTTTATCTATGATGCCTTGTACGATTGATCTATCTTTAGTTTTCTTTCATGTTTTTTTATTAATCTGGTTATCCAATCCGTTATGCTAGCTGACTAATCCCAGGTCAACCACCTGCTTTACTGCATTTGAACATCTGTGGTCACAATGAGATTTTCATGTTCTTTTCAATCTTGATTTTTGTTGCATGTTTTGAAGACAGCTTGGTGTTAAAGATCTCGTTGGTGTTTGTAGCAAGCAGTTGTTGAGAAAGGGCGCATATGCACAAAGCTTGGATCATCTATAGCTTGATATGTGTAATCTCTTGTTTTTCTTATGTTTATTTGTATCAAATCCTGATTAATAAATAAAACTTGGTGTTGAAGATCTCGTTCTTGGTGTTGTTTCAGTATTTTGGTCTTTGATATCGTGTTTTTTGAATTTTATACACCTAGTTCTTACCTAGAAAGTATTGTTAAAAAGAACAACAAATCGAAGTTATTTCTTATTCAGAAGATCTGAAGGGAATAAGTTACATCTAATAATCAAATTTACTATTTTGTTTGATTTGGGTTTTGTTGAAAAGAATATATATAATTAAGAACATGTACAGATTTTTTGGGTTGAGGTCGAAATGTAATGTTTGTGCCTGCCTGTGAATCTAGATGCATGTTTTTGAACAGAAATTACACAGTATTTTGATTACAAACTCTTGGTAACCCCATAAATCAGCTTCTGAAATTTGTATGCAATCTTTTTGTAACTTCAAAAGGTTTTTGCTTCATATCCACAGTTTGCTGTCCTGTAATCCTCAAAACACCAGTTTGCAAGTGTTCATGTGCCCATAAAATGCAACCTGCATCTTAACTTGCACCTGCTTTTGAAACACTGACATGGGTTTCACCCCAAATCGACAAGTATGGGCTAACAATATGGACTTTCTTGTGCCACTACTGAAGCTTTCTGGTGAAAATTTTGACCTTTCTACAACGATTCTGCTTCTTGACTTTATACCTGAATCAGCAATTTCATCATCATCATTCTCGTCATCTTCTTCAATAGGATCTGTAATCCTCTTAACTTCGTTATCAACACCAATGGCACGCCATGCCTCTGCAACAAGTTCGACAGTGTTCTTCTGTGGAATGATCCCCTTCTCTTCCATGATCTGTAGCAACTCTTCAGCTTTCCATGGCTGTCTTGCTTCTCCATAACCCCAAATCAGAGTTTCAAATGTTTTCAAATTAGGTGAAATACCCATTTTGCCCATTTCATCAAAAACCTCCATGGCATGATCCATCTTCCCTGCACTGCACCATCCACTAATGATTGTAGTATAGATGACTACATTTGGGCTTACGTTTGATGCCTTCATAACTTGCAAAATTCCTTTGGTTTTCTCGGGTTCACCGGATCGGACATAGCCCTTGGCCAAGATACTGAATACATGAATATCTGGTTCAATCCCAGCCTTGATCATGTCATCAAAGATATCTTGACATTTGTCCATTAATCCTACTGAACTCCATGCATTCATAATGGTGCTGAATGTAATCACATCTGGTTTCACCCCAAATTCCTCCATCAACTCTAGTGCCTGCCCAGATTCATACAAACATCCGTCAGTTTGATATTCAAAACCCCTTTTTGGATTGCTTAAATTCAAGCATTCTTGAAAGCTCAAAAGTAAGGAATGGCCATGTAGCAAACTAGCTAATATGCTAACATTTGGCTGAAAAATTATCTAATAAACTAGTCGTGTTTTAGTAAAAACTAGTAAAAACTAGTCAACAAGTTATATGACAATGTAAAATAAACTAAAAGCTCATGTTGAAGAAAACCCTAGAACTTATTGAATTGCTGAAGCGAAAAGCTAGCTTATAGCTAACCAAAAGGAGCTTCTTCGATAAGCTCGAAACATAAACTAGTTTATGGTCAAAGTGTAAACATGAATATACACATACATGCATACCTCATCAACTCCATCTGAATCCGCATCATCAAGGAACCCTTTGATAAGCGAATTGAAGACGACATCATTTGGGAGCACTCCAAGATCCTTCATTCGGTATATAAATCTCACAGCGTCCATCATATTACCTTCTCTACAATACCCATTTACTATAATCCCACAAGTTCGTTTATTTGGAGCCACTTTGTTATTCTGCATCTGAAATATCATCTCTTCGGCTCTATATGTTTCTCCATTCAAAGCATAAGCTTTTGCTATCGTGTTATAGGTCACGACATCGGGCTTTATACCAAATGCAACCATTTTCTGAGCAACATTCCAAGCTTCTGTGATGTTCTTCTGACTGCACCAAGCTTGAGCAATGATATTAAAAGTTCTGTCATTGGGTTTCACTTTCTCTTCTACTGTCATCATCTCCAACAGTTTCATACATTCCTCAGGTTTACCTATGATCCCGAGTCCTTTAACTAAGGTGTTTAAAGTGCTTGTTGTAGGTTTACATCCACTATCCTTCATTTTCTTGTACATTTTCATGGCTTCCTTGATGTTTCCAGATTCGGAGAAGGCGTTGATCATGGCGTTGAAGAAAATGGAATCGGGTTTTAAGCCATTTGCTTCCACTTTGGAGAGGAGGGAAGGAATGGAATTGAAACGCTTCTGAAGTGTTAAAGCGGCTAAGAGAGTTGTGTACGTGACAAGAGTGGGTATGTGGCCGTCTTCGATTAAATCTTTCATAATTGATTGGACTTCTTGTGGCTTTTTTCTCTCGATCAAGATCTTCATCAGTTTGGTTCTTGAACGAACTGTTTGGCAACTGTTGTTTTTGTTTTCTAGACAGGTATTGCAGCGCGAATGAGTTCGTGAACTCACAACAGCTGAAACCTTGCCAAAATGGGCTTTTTCATGAAGATGTGTTTCCTGCAACATATGCAAATCATCAAACACTTTGTTTTGAAGATCAAACTTTTTGCTAGGTTCTTTAGGTTTATTGATGATAAACTCAAAAAGTTGTGATGTACCATGGTAGAAGATGCTTGAACCTTTGACTTGCTGGTGACTGGTCCATTTCGGTGCTTGTTGATGATGACAGAATGTAATCTTTCTTTACCAAATTCTCCCATTTTGCATGCAAACGATTCTCAATATTCCTCAAAGAACTTATTGCATCAAATTTGGTGTGTTCAGATTTTAATCATGATCTTAGAAGATCCATGATGGTACTCATCTGAGCCATCCTAAAGAGAATCATGGAGAAAGTAAGCAGAACAGGACAGAAAGTCGAATTTATGAAGAACATAGAAGTTGAACATGATGATGAAAAGGGAATATTCACATAATGGTCAAGAAAACCACAATAAACATCATCTTGAAACATCTACAATCAAAGCCATAATCCCATTCCTTTATTCTTTAGATAGAACACAAGTCAACAAAAGCCAATGGGTATCAACAAACACTTCAAAAGACCAAACTGGAGAAGGGGGGGAGGGGGGTTCATATAATCACATTCATCACCACAAGAACATTAATAACTACTTTAGGAAAATATGACCAGATAGCTTAATCCAATTAGATCAAGATCCTTGATCTAATTGTCATAAATCAGATAATACCTGCATCCCTTGATTAGATTCCACCCTGCAAAAACTTCCCAAACTTAAAGACTCTTAGCTCTAGGGTCTGTTATTCTTCATTTTCAAAAATGACCCAGTTTCTCAACTCTAGGGTCTGTTATTCTTCATCAAAACTGTGATCATTTGGATACATGAAATGAAACAAAGTAAACCCTAAAAGATCAAAACTGTGATCATCCACAATATGAAGCAAAATGTGCCAATTGAGAGTAAGTGTAGAGGGAGAAAGAATACCTGTTGGAGTGAAGCAGGATGCAAGAGAGAATGCATGATGGGAGATGAAGCTCTCCTTTTGCATGTAAGAAATTGTTGTCTTGTGACATCTTGGTGAAATCTTATCCACAAATATTATCAAGAAATCAAAATGGGTTTTGAATTTTCTCAGTTTTCTTCTTTTCTTGAGGCTGAAAGTTGAAAGAAAGAAATGAGCAAATACCCTGTTTTTTTTCTAATATTTTCTGGAGCTTATTTGGCCACGTCTTGCTTTTTACCCTTCAGAAAATGTTGAAAATGGTCCTTGGACTATTTAGAAAGTGAAACTTGTTATTAAGAGACTGAAAATGAAAATAAAACAATAGTTCAGGACCATTTATGTAATTCACTCATTTCTTCTTGAAATAAATTCAAAACATACCCCTGTAGTTTCTAGAAATTACATTTAACACCCTGCATCTGAATGTAAGTGGATAGAATTGTTAATGGAGATTTATCCCTCTTAAACCTCCGTAGAAAGGCAGTTGCGGGCGGTGGTGGTTGTGGCCGGTGGCTTTGTACTTCTCTCTTTTTAGTTGCGTTGATTTGGAAGAAAACTTCAAGATATGGCAGCGATTTGCACCTCCGTGCATTCCTTCACACCTACTTTGACTTCGATATCACCGCCTTCTCCGGCAGTACTGGTAGGAACCTCAAGACTATCTTCATCATCATGCATAGCACTTTCATCAGTTTCCAGATTTCCTCGATGCGCTCCTGCTTATCGGAGGGCGTCAGCCTCCATGGTTGTTTGTATGGCACCGGACGAAGAGAGATTGACTCGCCGGAACCCTCTTGATTTCCCTGTCGTATGTGCCATCTCCTCTTTTTCTATCTGTATTTGAGTAGAAATATCAATTGTGTGGCTAGAGTACTAATTATTTGATGCCATTCATTCATCTGCTTTTCAATCAATCAATTTATGACATCTGAAAGCTTCGATTGTTTAACCATAGTAGCTCGAGAACTATAAAATGAAAAGTATCCAATTCAACATTATTATGATTTTAAAAGCTGAATTGCTTATATTCGAGCTTAATTAGCTCAACCCTAAGAACTAGTTGTTGAATTTAGAATTAATCTTATTCAACTATTGTTACTTTTCCTTTGTCTTGCCTAATGCAGCTGACTTAGATGTTAGAATAACATATGGTGTGATGTTGTTAGAAACTTGATTGATTGATAGCGCTCATTTCAGTTTAATTGAAATAGTGAAGTGTTTTGAGTTCAAACCACTTCCATGAGGCCTGTTAAATAACTAATGTGTTAACAACACCTCATGAAGCCTTTACAATAAAGAGTGAACTACAAAAATTGTGCCTGCACTACTGCCCAACCTACAAGTTTTATCCCGTTGCTATCTTGCAACTCTGAGAATCCCCAAGCGAAGAATAGTAGCACACAGCTTACATGGATGTAACTTGTAAGATTCAATTTGGGACTCTTTTGTAGTTTTTCGTTCTCACTTGTTCTTTACCCACCAAATGGTGTTGATGAGGACCCCAATCTATTGCAACACCCCCCCCCCCCCTTTCTGCTCGTCTTATGGTAGCATTTAATTCTTTTACTTCTTTTTGAAAGTAGAAACGTCTTCCCAATCACATATAAAACTACTTTTAGAATAATAAACAAAAGGGGGTTTGGGATGGTTGCTAGGATGGATTTACAAAACATATGAATAAAATATATTATATATGGTAAAAGAACATTGTGATTGACCTGTGTGTACCATTTTGTATATTTTTCTAATTGAACATTGTGATGTGTTTGTTGATTATTTCAAGTACAAAAATCGTAGTGTTTTAGTTGTTGATATTTGTATCCTCTTGTTCCTTATGAGGTTACTTCTTAAAACTAGTTATAAAGCGAACTACATCTTGTATGTGAAGTTTCAAGTGTTTTAAATCTACATAGTTTCGCATGAAATTTTCATCATGGTGTGAAGCTTAAATAATTTCTTGGTAAGATTTACAATGGTAGGTGGTCTGGTTTGTGTTTATTTGTAGAGGGTGAGTTTAGTGTCCATACACTAGATAAGACATTACTCATTAGATAGTTGAAAAGTGTTTTTATGATGACAAAAAACCAACGTATTTAGACACATGATGTGTTGATCTAGGCAATCACCATGAAACTGTTCATATGATTAGTAAATTGGTGACGGTAAAGAAATTTAGCTCGACATTGATCATCGTGTGAGGAATATTTCTCGGAAGACATAGGCCTTCGTCAAGGATCGCCTCTAAGCCCATTCTTTTTTGCTGTGATTTTGGACAAGATTTCTCAAGGGATTCAGGATAATGTCCCATAATGCATGTTTTTCACTGATGACATTGTGTTGGTAGCAGAGTCGAGCCTCTAAGCCTATTTCTTTTTGTGTGATTTTGGACGAGATTTCTCAAGGGATTCAGGGTAGTGTCCCATTGTGTATGTTATTCGCTGATGACATTGAGTTGGTAGCAGAGTCGAGGGCAGAGGTGAACTAGAGGCTAGAAGTATTGAGGGAAACTTTGGAAGCACAAGGCTTCCCCACTGGATGCTCCAAATGTCTATAATGCAACTACAACAGGGAACACATTGAGGATGAAGTTGAAGTCAGAATCTGAAATCAAATGATACCTTAAATATAGCTTCAAGTATCTAGGCTCTATGATTCAGAAAGAGGGAGAAGTCGAGGATTATTGTGTCCGTTTGGTTTGGTTTTATTCGTGTCGCAAAACCTAAAAGCATTCGCCACTTAAAGAAATAGTAATGATTGAGGAAACTTGTTAGTGGTATACTTGTGGTATATCTTATTCTTAAACAAGTGGGTCCAATAGTACAAGGAGGGTAACTATCTAATGAACAAGATGAGCCATAATAACAATGAAATAGTGTATCTAGAAATAGGAAAAACGTGATGTACACAAGGAAGTCTTCGTTAAAGCAGGTTATCAAACTTCTATCAGGATATGAGTGGAGAGTATTAATCATCAATGTGATAACCGTAGTTAATTGTGATGGTTTGCATATAGGTGACCAAGTTCATAGTAAAACCGTAGCTTATGAGAGGAGGAGAGTGTAGATGGTCAATTGATGTTCTAGGCATGATACTTTGCACATGCCTGAATCAGAAGATGGTACAAAAGAGCGCTAGCCAAAAAACTAAGGCACACCAAAATCTAAAACACAATGCTATATGTAGGATAAAAATTAATGGTCATAAAATAGATGAAATGGAATTGAAGCAACATTCAACCAATACGAGAAACAATATTGTGTTTTTAAGCATGATGAGATGAAAGGGAGGACATGCTACAATTGAAGTATCCTAGTTTCAACTTTTTAGTGAAGGTAATAGTGAAATTGAGAAGCAACTGAACTCTGATGTACGCCAATGTTTCAAATGCATGAAATCTAATAAAAATCAGATGATTACAAGATGTTCTCAGCTTTCGAGAGGCTGGGATCTCTCTCTAGGCTCTCGCCAAACTACAAAGCCCCTTATTTATACAGTCAATGGTTAACCACCTATGGATTACTGCACGCCACTTGTACATGTGCACCTGTACCCCAAAGTACTATATTGACTATTTAACTACCATAATGCTCAGGGTAGAACATCATCCAACATGCCTAATTTGTAGGCGTGCACTCCAGGGAAGATCAGTACTTGCAGTAAATTGGACCTATTTTGTGTACCTTGAACCTATTCCCTTCATCATTTCCTTCACATTCTACATGTAGACCAAACCAAACAAGCACAGTGTATCCCACCCGGAGGTGGGGTCTCGGAGGTTGCATGTAATAGAGTGGTTGTTTCCGTGAAGACCCCAGCTTGTGTACAGTGTGCCAAAAAAGGATAAAAGTTGCTCAAAATGTTTGTGGTAAAATAACATGAGAACATTTGAAAGAGAACTCCTCGAAAACATGAAAGGTAATGCTAAAATTTGAAAAACGAGTTAGAGGTAAGCGATACAATCCAAACAGACAAACAATCAAAACATGCAGAGGGAAGCAAGTACATTCTACATTTGTACTCTGTACTATGAACCTCAATGTTCCTCGACTCATTGTAGGCACCACGTGTCGTAATCACTGTCAATATCATCTTAGTTGTATTCTTAAGTGTCGTTTTTTAATCATAGAACCCTCGCCCTCATCCCTGGTTAGGATTTACTTGTAAGCATGTTCACCTACAGATGTATACTCGTATTGGATACAGTTCCATTATCACCTTGAAAAGTAACACACTTTTTGGTCACCTAAATATTGATCTCAGGTTTCAACAATACAAAAAGCTTTCTTATATGCATCAACCTTTTCCATATCTAAATCCATTAAGTTACTATCATTACGGCTGATGTTATTATCTCATATTCCTCCTAAAATAAATGTAGCCAGTTCGATTAACTTATTTATCTCTCAGCAGTAGGAGTATTGCATCTAGACCGTGTGGAACTTCCTTAAACATTACCCTTTGTTTGTGCGGTGACTATGTTTTTTTTTCTCCACCACCATGCTGGATGTAGGCTTCAGTATCCTACTGATTATATCATCATATGGAACTGTATCAATATCAAATATCTGCTATTATGCCATAGGTCATGACCATATGGTGAATCATCATTTTCATCAATGTGTTGTAATAATTGGTAGCAGGCAAATGGTAAATCTGGAATAGGTATAGGATCTTCCAGAAAGAAAATGTTGCATTTTTGTTTGGGATAGCGTTGATTCTTTTGTAGTTTAGGATTGAAAAGGAAAGATGATTGATTTAGTGAATGTTGTTGGATGCAGGAATGGGAGAGGCCAAAGCCGGGAAGAAGGCCTGATATATTTCCGCAGTTCAGTCCGATGAAAACACCATTGCCGCCACCATTACCATACGACCCTCCGGCGGAAGACGAGGAAGAGGAGGAGGAAGAGAACAAAGAAGAAGAAGAAGAGGATCCTGACAAGGAACAAGCAGACTGACTGAATAGTGGTAATCTCTCCATTTTTGTTTCAAATCATTCAGATGTAAGATGATAATAATTCTTCATGCTTTTGCCTTCTACTTTGATTTCTAGAATCTTATATAATGATCCATGATAAAATAAAACAGTTAACTTTTTAGAACTAAAATCAAACAAATATAATAATTTCGTTTAAATTTAAAAACCCTAAACACTTACCCGGTAAGCACTTACCGGTCAAAAAAATTCAACATTATCGTTTACTTACCAGGAAAGATTTTATTCACTTAAACGCATACAACAATTTATCCCGGTAAGCGCTAACCATGGTAAGAGTCCTCGTCCTCACTTACCGAGTAAGACTCTCGATTATTGCCTTCACTCTTATCGGGTAAGATTTTTAGTCCTTGCCATATTCATTCGGTAAAATAAAATGACGTGATAAGCGCGAGTAAGCGTTTGGTAAACGGCACCAAAGTCCCATCATATAGAATTTTGTTGCTAAAATTTGTAATTTAAGGATTTGAAAAAACCAAAAGACTGTTGCTATTAGAATTAGAAACATAGTATTCATGATTGAAGACCATGAAATTAAGAAACCAGAGAGAGTCATCAAATATCTTGACAACCAGCAACATCAGCATGACCATCACCATCACCAAATTAAACCCTTCACCAACCTGGGTTTTTACTTATTGGAATAGCTTTTTAGCATTGCAATAAAAAAGTAGCTGTTTTCTTTTTTCTCAAAAATATGTATTCTTAGGGTCTCTTTATCCAAATGCTTACTCGGTAAACGCTACCAGTAGAAATCAACATTATAATTTATCTGATAAAATTGTAGTATATCAAAACGATATTCTATGCAACAATTTACCCGGTAAGTACTTATCCGGGTAAGAGTTGTCACCCTCAGCGGGTAAAACTCAATCCTTATCATTGCTCTTACCAGGTAAGATTCTTAGCCCTTGCTATGTTTATCCGGTGAGGGAAAATGCCCGATAAGCATTTACCGGATAAGAGTTTAGTAAACGACCCCTGCTCAAGGTCTTATTTATTCAGGAAAAATCCATCCATTTTCACAAGACTTCACTCCTTATATGATGCTACAATCATTTGAAACGACGATATATATGTTTATTTGGTTGGTCGGTATCTTAAAAGAGGAGGACCTTCTTGGTAATTTTTGAGATCCAATTTATGTCATAAAAAAATTAGTTGAATTTGTTTAAATATCTATACTATCTTTTAAAGCATTTGGCTAAAACTCTTAAAAATCTCTTAAACCTGTTTATCCCTAGACGATTTCATCTCTATCCGATTTTATCCTATATCTGAATTCGTGTAACTAAATGCAGATAAACACAATCAAATACATGATAAACATCTCATTTGAAATATAAAAAATCTAAAATATAATTAGGATAATCATTGAGTTCTAACAGAATACTTAATTATTATCTTTATAAAATGTTATATTATTAAACCAAAAATAAATTATTTAATTATTAAACTTAAATTATATTATAATAAAAAAAATAAATTAAAAAATTACATAAAAAGTGAAAAATTTTAAATAGTGGATTTGACATTAACATTGATATATATATATATATATATATATATATATATATATTTTTATGATATCTTCAAATTTATATTTTATTCAAAAATAAAATCATTATTGCTTTTTTTAAAAACACATAATCTATACTATCTATATTATATTATAAAACATTTGACAAAAACTCTTAAAAACAATTTTTTATGCATGAAATATTGTTTATTGATGCATAAGACTTCAAATTTAAGATTACAAGTAAATTATGCATAAGTACAATTTATTAAAGCTCAATACTTGAATTCGTATAACTAACTGCAGATAAACATAATCAAATATTGGATAAATATCTCATTTTAAATATAAAAAATCTAAAATATAATTATGATAATCATTGATAACTAACAAATAAATATGATTTTTTTTTTAAATGTAATAATTTTTATTCAACAAATAACTATAATTAGTAGCTTAGGATGGATCTTACAAGATATTCATAAAGCCATCTAAATTATTTTTTACTATAAAACATACTAAACATAATCAAAATTAAAGTTAAATAAATGAGTCAAAAACAAGTATTTTTTTAAATGTTAATAGACTAATTTTCAATATATCTTTTTTGATCATGTTATATTTTTTTATTTAACTTATCAGTTAATTTTTATCAAACATAATTTATTCATCAGTTAGTTTGTTTAACGTAACTTTGATTTATTTAAAAGAAATTATAATCATTTTCAAATTCTAGATTTTAGAAATACTAGAAGGATACCCGTGCAATGCATCGAGACATATCTTGATTTCAGTGTTTTGTTTTTTTTTTTATGTTGATATAATACAATTTTATGTGGTTTGAGAAAGTGATAATGTCTTATTTTTGAATAAAATATAAATTTGAAAATATCATAAAATTTTGAAAAAAAAATATATCGATATCAATATCAAATTAATCTTTTTAAAAGTTCTGGTGTAGTTTCCTTACTTCAATTTTTTAATTATAATTTAATTTAGGTTTAGTAACAAAGAAATTTAATTTAGGTTTAATAATATAATTTTTTATAAAGATAATAATTAAGTATTCTGTTAGAATTCAATTCTTATCTTAATTATATTTTAGATTTTTTATATTTAAAATGAGATATTTATCCAATATTTGATTATGTTTATCTGCAGTTAGTTACATGAATTCAAATATAGAGCTTTAATAAGTTGTATTTATGCACAATTTACTTGTAATCTTAATTATTAAGTAAAGTAATCAATAAACAATACTTTGTGTAAAAAAAATACTTTTTAAGAGTTTTTGTCAAATGTTTTATATTATAACTAGAAGGGTATTCATGCAATGCAGCGAGATACATCACGATTTTAATGTTTTATTTTATTCTTTGTCTCTGTCGATATTTTTTAAAAATATAATTTTGAAAATATCATAAAAATTTGAAAAAAAATATATCAATGTTAATATCAAATCAATTTTTTAAAAGTTATCATTTTTATGTAATGTCTTTAATTTATTTCTTTTATTATAAGTTAGTTTAATTAAGTCTTTTGTTAGAACTCAATGATTATTCTAATTATATTTTAGATTTTTTATATTTAAAATGAGATGTTATTCATATATTTGATTATGTTTATCTACAGTTAGTTACACAAATTCAGATATGGAGCTTTAATAAATTGTATTTACACACAATCTACTTGTAATCTTGAGTTTTAAGTAATATACATTAATAAATAATACTTTATACATAAAAAATGATTTTTAAGAGTTTTTGTCAAATACTTTATAGATAAGTTTTATCTTTAAATATATAAAATCAAAACTAAGTCAGAAAATAAAATAAATAAATAGTGAATTAATTAATTGGTAAAGGGATAAAAATTGGGGAAATAAAAAGAAACGTCCTGCTGACATAACGCCTTTTTCCACCTCCAAACGGTCAGTTTTTTTTAAATTCGTCTCGTGATTTACGGCCCACCTTATTTATTTGGTGTGACGCACCATCACCACCATCCATCTCCTTCTCCAACATCCAACGGTCACCATCAAACCCATTCAACACGACAAAAAGGGTCATTTTCGTCAACCCAAAAAAAAGCGTTGGTGGTCTGGTGGAAAAGTGTTTGACGCCATAGGAGAAGGAGAAACCCCATGTGCCAAACTTTCTCACACCCCCTTATTCTATGTTGTTACGCATTTTCATCCCCTCTCACTTTTTCTTTTTACATAACACCCCCTTCCAAAGTTTTTTTTTATTAACCTGGATATCCAGCCCGCTATGCGAGCCGACTGATCCCAGGGCGACCACCTGCTTTGCAGATAGCCCGGAGTCACCGCATTTGAACCTTCGTAGCCACAAAGAGATTTTTATTCATACTAGTATCTGAACTTGGGACCTCCTGATATTTTTGACATTTGAAGCCAAGCTCAAACCAATCAAACACCACCCTTGTGGTTCCCTTTCAAAGTTATAACTAATTAAATCAAACTCAATCCATGTGACAACAATCATACTTAATGCCAACATAAAACACATTTTTGTGTTTCAATGTTCAAACCATATGACCTTTACCATATAATATGCCATATTTTCTCTACTTTATACGTATTTTTTTTTCCTTTGTACTCACATGTTTGGACAAACTCAAGGAATTTTTATGAAAATAGTCATTTTATCCTTCGAAATACTGGTCAGATTTATGTTGTTCCACCCCTAACCCCTCATTCATGTGAGGTATATTGGGTTGGTTTGGTTTATATTTTTTTAAGCTACACCTCCGACTAATATAATGTAATTATCCTCTCAAATAGGGATGATACTGAGCTTTAGTGATACAATGCTGCCAAATGAAAGGTTTTTATATGCCACAATTTCACAAAAACAACCTCTCAATCGTTTAAGGTAGAAGAAATATCTTCATACATTACATCATTCTTAGACCCTACTTTGAATAAAATACAATGCATACATGTTGTTGAGTTAGGGTCCGTTTTCAAATGCTTACCTGAGTAAGCACTTACTAAGTAACATTACTTCACTGGATGAATATGGTAATGATCAAGAATCTTACCCGGTTAGAGCAAGACAAGAGTCAAAGACCTTCCAGCCTAGTGGTAAAGACTTGGGCATGACATAGTCATGAACCCGAGTTCGAGCCCTGGGAGTGGAGTGTTGGCGACATTTAAGTGGGGCCATGTTTAGTCTCCAAATTTGCCGGGGATTAGTCGGGCTTTGACCCGAACACCCTTACAAAACAATAGAGCAAGACAAAAACCAAGAGTCTGAGGGCGATGACTCTTACCAAGGTAAGCGTTTATCAGGTAAATTATTGCATATGATGTCATTTTGGTGGATTAAAATCTTACCCGATAAGTAAATAATAGTGTTAAATTTTACCAGTAAGCACTTACCGGGTAAGTATTTGGTAAACGACCCCTTAGATATACAACAACAGATATAATATTAGAAAGTAAAACACTATAATGATTCTTGATTTTAATGGTAAATTTTCACATAAAAAAGCCTTTTTCACTCCAAGATGAATAAAATTATTTGAAATGAAAAAGGAAAAGAAAAGGGAATGAAGCATAGAAAAGGGAGAAAAAGAATTGACACAAAAGGAGTAGAAAGTTATAAGCTTAAAATACAAGGATCTCATAAGAAAGTCTAGAAAACTTGAGGGACTAAAAAGAAACATACGTGTAAATAGCACTAATACAGCCATTGACAACAGTAATCGCAGCTTCAGCTTCCGCTTCCTTATCTTTTTACTTGCAGCAAAAAACCTCACGCACTTACTCTACGTGTGTGTGAGAGACAGATAATTTATAGATCCAAAAATTTCACTGATTTCTTGAGGACTTTGTATAAAGAAATCACAGATAACGACGGAAAAACCATCCTAAGTTCAGAAGAATCAGTCGTTCTGTCTCTCGGATCTACAACAATGTTGGACGGATTGTTAGGTCGCGGTGGTTTCAGCTCCAAATGGTTAGATTTCTATCAGTATAATCTGTATTTATATACTGTGTTTCTGAAGTTGAACCCGCCTATTTGCTTCAAATCACTAAGGATAGAATGATGTAGTAGCAAAACCGATGATGATGTTTTTTGTGTTTTGAAGTAAATCGTTGATTAAGCCGACGAGGACACGAATAGAGGTGTTGAGGAGAAGGGCGGAGGCGAAGCAGAGGTTTTTGAAGGAAGATCTTGCGAAATTACTCGCCAATGGCCTCGATGTTAACGCATACGGAAGGGTACTGGTTTTGGATTTTAATTTATTTGTTCGTTACACCTGGATGATTGTAAAGTTTTGTGCTTTTGATCTTGCTTTTGTGTTATTATCGTCGTCCTTTGAATTGATTCTGTGACTGGTGATTGAGCTTGATGATTATGATTTCCTTCCAGATGATAAATCGAAGCTTTGTGTTTTGAGGTTGTAGGTAGATAAAGTAATGTGTTTATTTAATTTTTTTCTTAATATTATATTGAGAAAAATGCTACAACATGATGTGGAAACTCTTATTTCACAGTGCCTCATCCTTGGCCAAACGTGTAACTCTCTAAGATTTCTGATATACAGTACATAACATAGAAAATAATGTGGACTATACTGGACTTTCATATCATGCAGTTCAATGTGTTGCTATTCTTTCTAGAGCTTAATTTTAGACAAGCTTGTTAAGTTACTTATTGTTGCATAGGCATGTGCACTAAATTCTCCATTCAAGTTCTTTGCGAACATACCACTGATTTTGTTAAGTTCCGGTGGGCGTCATCACTATTTTCTTTTTCGCTTACAAGTTGTTTTCTTTGTAAATCTTCATAGTAAGAGCCCTATTTCAAATACTAACCTTTGAAATTCTGTTAATGTTATAATGTCATACATCCTACCTGTGAAGAGGAACTAGAAGTGCCAACTGCCAAGTTTCATTTAGGCTTTTACAATTGAATACGATTATGCATTTTGCTTTGCATGGTATATTTGGTAGATAGGTCAACTTAAGAAACAGTGACAAACAATCAACTGGATTTGCATTACTACGAAAAGGTGAATTTGCTTCACCTTTGTATATTTACCATAAGCACAATAAGTTTGCTCTAGGTGTCCTCAACTCCTGATTAGGCCAATAATACTCATGGACACTCCATTCCCTTGTGCCTTCCAAAAATTGCACCTTGTGCTCTCATTTGTAAAGGATGCTGGCTTGAAGTCTCCAAAGTAGCGCATTTGTAACTTATAGAGAAGGAACACGAAAGGTAGATACTTGGTCCACACATGAAAGTAAAATAGATACAACTGTAAGTTTTAATTTGATTTTCACATTAAATTTGGAAGTTCTTACTTGTATATTTTTGTTCCTGATGCTTTGTTGTAATAAGCTCTAACTGAAGCTTTGTTTCATGCGAGGTGGTGATACAGACTGAAGAATTTATTGCTGGCTTGAATCTCTTATCTTGTTATACTTTTATTGACCAGTCATGTGAATATATATTGAAGCAGCTGTCAGTCATGCAGAAACTAGGGTATGAAGAAAGAGTAATCGCTGTATTCCTTTCCTACTTTATGCAATTATGTGTACTTTTATTTTGTTGTGCCGTAAAATTGGTTTACTTAGTGTATATGCATGTCAGATTTCCACAAGTTGCTCCAAACATCAACTGTTCCAATTCATTTGGTTGTTGCTGGGGGAGACTATTAAAGGATTTTTACCATGATAGAACAAAGAACAATTGAAAGAAGTGGTAGTTCATGTTGTAGACTGTGGCTTAAATCATTGATGCTAAAATATGAAGGCAGAAGCTATAGCAGTACCAGTGAAAACATAGAATAAGATCCTTAAAAAGGAGAAATATGTACAATGTTAAACCACTTATACTTAACATTCTGTACTTGATTGCTTCAGACAATGCCCAGAAGAATGCAGAGAGACTGTGGCATCCCTTATGTTTGCTGCTGCAAGATTTTCTGATCTTCCTGAACTGCGTGATCTCAGGGATGTTTTTCAGGAGAGATATGGGACTGGTTTAGAATGTTTTGTTAATCAAGTGGTAGGTCTTCACATGTTATCTGAATGAATTCATATTATCCTAGCTCCCTATATACATCTAACCAGCTTATTGATTGTTGCTAGTTTGTTGAGAAGTTAGCCTCTAAACCTCCGGCAGTGGAGAAGAGAATAAAGCTACTGCAAGATATAGCAACTGAATTTTCAATACAGTGGGATTCTAAAGGATTTAAAGAAAGAATGAATAAGTCCTCCACACTTGCTCAGGTATGGCTCTTGCTTCAAAATTTCTACCAACCCCTACTCCCCAGACCCAGAGCCAGACCCAAAAAGGGTGTGGAATGCAGGTACCTCTGAAAGAGGCATTTGAAATCATTTCCACCAACCCAAACCTTCTCTAACTTTCTTCAAAATAAACTGCAGGACCAAGCAAAGAAACTTGGATCTCTGAGTGTCGCTGACGATAAATACAAATTACCAAATGGAAATATTGTTTTCCGGAAAAATGATCAGGGATCTAAAGAAAGAATAGAGCATGCTCACAAGGAGCCCAAATTGCACAATGTTGGCGATGTAAATGTTAGGAACATTCCTTTTGTGGGAAGAGAAGAAAAACGTCCTAAAGAAAGAATAGAGCATGCTCACCAGGGGGCGATGTTGCACAGTGATGGGAATGTACATGCTAGGAGAAAAGAGGTGGACATTCCAATTGTGGAAAGAGACGAAAAACGTGGCTACAAACGTGAGGTACTCATCAGTAAGGCAGAGAATGATGGCTATTTTTCTAAAGCAAAGCAAGAATATGCTTCTGAAGAGAATGACATCCCCTCGTTGAAAAGTTCAGGCAGTTCTTATCGTGACAGAAAACCAGAAGTTTTCGATGATGCTAAGGTGAACAAAGGAAGTAAGGAAAGACACGGTTACAAACAGGAGTCAGTTACCAACAGGGCAGAAACTATTGAGACCGAAAATAATTATGGCTATTTTTCTAAAGCAAAGCAAGAATCTGCTTCTGAAAGGAATGGATTTGGAAATAATGATACCCCCTCGTTGAAAAGTTCTGGCAGTTCTTATCATGACAGAAAAGCAGAAGTTTTCGATGATGCTAGGATGAGCAAAGGAAGAAAGGAAAGACATGGTTACAGACAGGAGCCAGTTACCGACAGGGCAGAAACTGTTGAGACCGAAAATAATGATGATCGTTTATTTAGAGGGAGGCAGGAATTTGCTGCCAAGAAGCATGGATCATCAATTGGAGCCGACCATACTCCCTTCATGATCAAAAGTCCAAGAAGCTCCCGTGACAGAAGGCCAGAAATTCCTGATAACAATCGTGTTAATGGGGATGGAGAAGTTGGTATTAAGTCAACAAGAAAAGTGCAAGAGGAGGAAGTTCTTAAGTTAAAATCTTGCTACAATGGTTCTCTTCCACCACCACCACCACCATATGTTAAGTCAAACATCCCACCACCATACAGTAAGCCTATTAATGCAGACAAGATCCATAAGAAACAAGATAGTCCATACCACAAACATGGAGGCCGTGAAGACCTGCCACCTCACATTGTAACGAATTCAGATCATGGGGTTGCGAATGATGTACTTTTGCCTAAACCAAGATCCATTCGTAGGAAACACTCCAAGTCATCATCTAGTCATGATGACGTTGGGAGCTCTGAAGATGCTCGAATTGTGAAGAGAATTTCAAGTAGCAGAAGAAAAGAAAGAAAGGGGTTACAGATCTTATTCGACGATGAGCACTACCACAAGGATGAAGAGGAGAAAATGATGGACAAATTGTTGTTACATTATAGCAAGAAACCATCAGCTTATGATGTTGGGAAGTTAAGAAAGAAGAAATCTAGCAAATCTCCACATCATAGAAGCATGGATGAAGCAGAAATGATTGCTCCTCCCACCAGATCAATTTCTCTTCCACATGAACAAAGTGGCGAATCTGAATCCAAGAAAGTGTATGCTCGTGCAAACTCTTTTCAGCCCGATAATCAGGCTGCACACGTACATCCCAAGTTACCGGATTATGACGATTTGGCAGCCCGCTTTGCAGCACTGCGAGGGGGGTAAAATGTTTTATTTGGGATATAACTGATTTGTTTGCATAGGTGTTTCTGTTTGTTTTTATAAAAGCAGGAAAAAGAAAAAGGATTTAGAGTTGATTGAGGGTTGTGTTTATGATATCTAATCGTGTTAAAAACATTCACACATTTAATAGACCAAGGTTTGGTTCAAACATGCAGGATATAACTACTTTTACCAAGGAAAGGGAGGGAAATAATATCCATATTGTTAAGTTTAATATGTATGATTACTATGCAGTAATTGGTCATGAGTAAAAAGGTAATTGATGACAATATTGACATTTTTTTGAACTCTTTAGATGCATTTATTCGGGCAATGTTTAGGCTGCATTTGGTATATGGGACAGGATGAGACAAAACTCGATGTTCCACGTTTGGCACAACATAGGACACGACAAGAACTCACTGTCCCATGTTTGGTGCAACATGGGATAAGGATAAGAAGTGCGACAAAGTGGGATAGCGTGGGACAAAAAAACTTTTTTTTTGTTCCACCTATTTGGAGTAAGAATACGATAAAAACTAAAATATTATTAACCAACCCTCGTTTGATATGTAACCTTAACATGATACTTGTTTTAGCGATCACCATCACTAGTTGCGACCGTGGCGGCGGCAACCTACCCCTCCTCCGCCACCTTTACAGCCACCATCGACTACCACCTTCTATCACCACCTCCATAACCACCATCGGCCACCTACCACCACCGTCCATTGCCACTACCGCTGTCAGCCACCTCCACCTTCTCTTCTACTACAACCTCCTCCACCACCTCCACAACCATCGTCGGCCACTGACCAACACAATTCATCGGCCACCACCACGTACACCATAACCACCACCACTGCCCACCATCACACCTACCTCCACCACATAGGCCACAACTACCTCCTCAACCACTGTCGACCGCCATCACCACCACTATCCACCATCTTCACGTCCTACACAATCACTATCGTTGATCAATTACCAATGCTTCTACCTCCACAACCATTGTTGTTGCAACAATATTTACTATGCCTTCACCGATTAATAAGAATCTTCCAAACTAGATAAAACATAATTTCTCCTTTGTATGAATCAAGTTTTATCAAAATACCATCAATTATATAAAAAAATTCATTCAAACTTGGTACTATTTTATATTTACGTATATGAAAAAATGTTTATAAATTAAATTATTTACTTTAGTTATGTTAATTATAACTATTATATGATATATAAAGTCATAAAAATAACTTTTGGGGGCAACTTATCTAGTTCTGTCATGTTCAGTCCTAGTCGTATCAAACACCACACAAACATTTGTTCTGTCCAGTTCTGTCATGTCTAATCATGTACGCGTACCAAACGCCACCTTAAAGAACAAGATAAAGGTAACAGGGTTGATGGAACATTCACGTACCAAGCATATACCGATATGGTGGATGAGTTAAGTAAAACTCTGCACAAAACTTTCAACAAAAATCACTTGAAGAATCGTTTAAAAACTCTAAAAGATCTATCCATCAATTGTTTCTCGTCGGTTGTCAAGAACTCAAGCGTCTCCAGTTGGTTGGTTCATCGGCATGCTTAACCTGTTTTGATTTTTTGCAAGGTCGGTCGCATACAAGATTTTCTGGATCTCCGGTTTCAAGTCAGAACCTTTCATGATCTCTCCGGTCATGAACCCTTTCAAACGGTCCGTTGTGTTGTCGCTAATGGCCGGGGAACGGACATGCATCTTTATATATTATGTTATTACCGTTGCTAAATGGTTAGGTAAATTAAGGTTATTTACTTCATATTTATGTTTAACTAGTGTTTGATACCGTGCGTTGCGTGATGACGTTATTTTTTTTTTAAATTATTGAAGTTAGCTAAATGAGTCGATGATCACATTCATATGTTAAATTAATAAGAATCAATATTACATTTGATATATGAATCTACCCACCTCATTTTGATTATCCATATATTTTATATGAATTTTACAAAAAAAAAAAAAAAAAATTAAACCCGAATACAGTGCAAACAACCCCGAAAACACATTGTTTCGAGCTAGTTAGAGTCATAACTGACTTTCGACCCTTCGTGAAAGTGGTTGCAAGATACGAGCTTATTCCGACTTACAGTTTGTGAGTTATACATTGTCAAAGTACGAGAGTTGCACTGTCGGTAAAATCCAATTTCACAATTTCTCAACGAACTTTTATGATCCCAACTTCGCGTATTCAATCAAACCGGTAATTTTCTTCCCAACTACAGGTCCCATAAACTGAAAATCCATAACCCTAAATGCTACGGTAATACCTTTTAGTTGCCTTATGCTTGTTTGAACAACCTCGGTTAATCTTGTCTTTTTTATTATGTTGTACTAAAAAATGATTGAAACTCGTGTTTTTGGTCATTTAGTAAATATACTATTATTATATTCAAGTATTATGTAAATAGAATTATACATATTAATCATAATTTCATTTATATAAGTGAGTTTTTAAATATAATGATTATATATATTCGTTAA